TCCCTCCCTCTCCCTCTCTCCTCTCTCTCTCTCTCCTCTCCTTCTCTCCCTCTCTCCTCTCCCTCTCTCCTTTCCCTCTCTCTCTCTTTCTCTCTCTCAGCCCTCCCTCCCTCTCACTCATCCTTCCTTGGAGCCAAAGAAGTTGCCACCCGCTCCTGGTCAGGTGGCCCAGCTCCTTCCTCCTAGTGCTGGGGGTGCTACCTCCCTGCCCAGTGTCACACTGCCTGCCATGCCCTCCTCCTCCTCCCCCCCTTTTCTCCTGCTTCTTCCTTCAAGTCTCCCCCAAAAAGCGGCATCACTAGTGCCGGGGGCCTCCCTGTTTCTCCCCTGGTGCGCCTGAGGGCAGGCAGAGCTGTTGCCTGTCACTTCACTCTCTGCAGGGCACAGAGAGACTTCTGTTCCTTCCCCACCCGCCCACCCCCAGGCTCAAAGCCAGGCAGATGGTCCTCTCCTTGGCGTCTCTGTAGCACCTGTTTGCTGTGCTGGAGGCTCAACTACGAGAGACCTCGAATGAAGCTTCCCCTATTGGGGGTGGCCTGGATGGCAGCAATGCTGGTCTGCCCAGCGACCTCTCTGAGAAAGTTAGCCCCTCCCTGCCATGCCGTGGCCCAAGGCAAAGCAAAGCAACCCTTGGATAAGGAGGATGGGGAGGAGGAGGAGAGGAAGAGAGGAGGAGGGGGAGGAAGAGGAGGTGGAGGACGAAAGGGAAGGAAAGAAGGGGGAGATGGGGAGAGGGAGGGGAGGCAGGGAGAGGAGGGGGACAGCAGCAGGAGGAGCTCTCCCGAGGCCCTGGGCACCTGGGGTGGGGCTGGTGGGCAAACAGGCAGGGAATGGCCTCGTCTTCAGTCTCTTCCAGGCTGGTCTGGTGCTCTGCTCTCTGGCACTGTCCTGGCTCCAGGCAGACAATGTTGTGGTGGTACAAGGCATGGCCCTGGTGCTGGGGTGGTTCGGTCTGCTCTATTACTCCAGGGGCTTCAAGTTCACTGGCATTTATGCAGTGGTCCTGCAGAAGGTGAGCCGGCACTCCAGCTGGCCCACATGAGGCCCCACCCATGGGTCCCACCAGTGGCCCCACCTCTGGGTCTCTGTTATCCCATTCCCCCCTGACCTGCCCCCACCAAGGACCCAGGACACCAGGGACCCTGGAGGCCAGGGCAGGTGGTGAGTACCGTGAGCCTCCTTGGCTCTCCAGGCCAAGAATGAGCAATGGGAACCGGAAGACATAGTTTACCAATGCTTCAACTTGGCCAGTGACTGGAGACTTTGGTCCTTTTCTACCTCCTTGGCTGCCCATCCCCGCCCCTGCCTCCCAGGGCATTCCCAGCCAAGCTGAGATCCATCTGTGGTCAGCCAGTCAATCAATAAGCATTTATTAGGCACCTTCTGTCTAACTTCAGCCACCCCTCATAGTAATGGACAGTCCCTTGGCTTCCTCAGATGATTCTCCAGGACTTGCTCAGGTTCCTGTTGGTGTATGTGGTTTTCCTGCTGGGTTTTGCATCTGGTGAGTAGGGGCCAGCCCTTCCCAGGGAGACATGAGTCTTCTGCCTCCCCCCACCCCCACACACACCCAAGAGGGACCCCATCGTGCCCCCAAACTATCTTACTTTGTGTGACAAAAGGGTGGAATGGTAGTAACTTGGCTGCTGGGGAGAAGGTCAGCCTTAGGTCCAGCTGGAGGACCAGCTGGCTGGGCCCCAGCATCTAGGGGATATTTCTGTGTGTGTCAGTCAGTCAACAAACCTGAAATGCCTACTGTGTGCCAGGGACTATTTGAAGTGCTGGGGATTCAAGAAAAGGCAGAAGACAGTCCCTGCCCTCAAGGAGCTTACAATATAATGGGGAAAACAACATACAAATATGTACAAAGCAAGCTCTATACACAACATAAATAGGAAATAATTCACAGAGAGAAGTCACTGGAATTAAGATAATAATCACAAATAAGTCATGATAGCTAACCATAGCACTTACTACCGTGTGCCAGGCACTGTGCTAAGTGCTTTACAATGATTATATTTATATTATAAATATTATATTATTTATGTTATAAATATATTTATATTATAATTATTACAATGATTTGGTCTTCACAACAACCCTGGGAGGTAGGTGCTTTAATATCCCCACTTTACGGGTGAGGATACTGAGGCAGGCACAGGTGCCATGCCTTGCCGTGGACCACGCAGGCCCAGGACTCCATGTACTGCACCAGGGGAAGGCTTCCTGTAGTTGGGGCCTGAAGGCAGTCAAGCAGCCAGCCAGAGAGAATGCTCAGAACCAAGAGAGAGATGGGAGGGTCTTGTTCATGGCACAGCCAGTGGGCCAGGATTTGCTGGATCGTAGATGTTGGGGAGTCAGGTGTAAAAAGAATGGTAAGGTAGGAGGTGTCAGGCTATGAAGGAATTTGAACGCAACTTTGTATTTGCTGCTGGAGATGATAGGGAGTCACTGAAGTCACTGAAGTGTGCATGCGTGTGTGTGTGTGTGTGTGTGTGTGTATGAGAGAGAGATATGGTCATATCTATACTTTAGGAAAATCCCTTTAGTGGCTGAGTGGAGGTTGGGCTGAAATAGGGAGAGACTTGAGGCAGGCAGCCCCCCCCAGCATCTGTTGCAATGAGCCAGGTGTGAGGTGATGAGGTTCTGCACCATGGTGGGGGCAGTGTCCTAGGAGACAAGGGAGGGTATTGGAGAGATGTTGCAAAGCTGAAATTGACAAGAGATGCAGAGGTGAAATTGACAGGCCTTGGCACTATATTAGATATGGAGGTAAGAAAGGAATACAGGATGATTCCTAGGATTGTCAGACTGGAGGACTGGGAGGGTGGGGGTGCCCTGGACAGTAATAGGGAAAGGAGCAAAGGAGAGGGCTTAGGGGGAAGGATGATGAGTTCTGTTTTGGATATCTTGAATTTAATACATCTACTGAATATCCAGTTCAGGATATCTGAAGGGCAGAGGGAGATGCGAAACTTTAGGTCAGCAGAAAGTTTGAGGCAGGATAGGGATACTTGAGAATCATCAGCATAGAGCTGGTCATTAAATCCATGGGAGCTGATGAGATCACCGAGTGAAGTAAGGCAGAGGGAGAAGAGAAGGGGACCGAGGACAGAACCCTGAGGGACACCCATGGCTGGAAGATCCAGCAAAGGAGACAGAGAAGGAACAGTCAGAGAAGGAGGAGAAGAACCAGGAGAGAGAGGTGGTGTCCTGAAAACCCAGCGAAGAGATTATCTAGGGGGAGAGTGTGACCAACAGCGTCTAAGGCTGCAGAGAGGCAGAGGAGAATGGAGATTGAGAAAAATCCTCGGGATCTGGTGATTAAGAGCTCATTGGTAACTTTGGAGAGAAGTTTCAATGGCATGGTGAGGTCAGAAGCCAGTGGTAAGGGGTTAAAAAGAAAGCAAGAGGAGACAGTGGAGGAGACTAGTGTAGATGCCTTTTCCAGGAGTGTGACCACAAAGGGCAGATGAGATATCAATGAGAGCAGGGATGGAAGGGCCATGTGAGGGTTTTCTCAGGATGGGGGAGACTGGGGCTTGTTTGTGGGCAGGAAGGAAGGAGCCAATTTGCTCCCCTCCCCCCACCCTGCAGCTCACTCAGTCTGACCCCTGGGCCCTTGGTATTCTGTTCTCCTTACCAGCCCTCTCAGCTCTGACCAGCCAGTGTCTGGAACCTGGCCACTGTCCCTACCACAGCGTGGGGAGTGCGTCGGGGGCTCTCTTCAAGCTGACTCTCGGGCTTGGGGACCTGTCGGGCCCTGAGCACTCCAAGTTTCCACTCTTCTTCCTCTTCCTCCTCATCACCTACGTGATTCTCACCTCTGTGCTTCTCCTCAACATGCTGATTGCCCTCATGACTGAGACCGTCAATATGGCGTCCTCCAGGAATGAGAAAATCTGGCGTGTACAGGTACAGAGCCCCAGCTACCCTGGAGCGTCCAGACCCAGGGCCTATCATCCCCAGCAGCTCAGCAGGAGGAGGGGCACATGGGGCCCAAGGTCTGTGAGTGGGTGCAACTGTTAGAATCTGGAGGGGTTTCCTTTACTCCCTCCTAGGCCCCAGAGCTCTGTAGGCAAGCCTGACATTCCTGTTTGCGATCAATTCTTGTTGATATGGTTAGTAAGGATCCACATCTCTTTGGCAATCTACACTTTACCCTCTGGATAGGTTTATGGATAGAATTATTCTCTCCATTTTATAGATAAGCGAGCCGAAAGCCAGACCGGAAGTGACTTCCCCAAAGTTACCAAAGTGAAGGCCTGGGGGTTGGGTGGAGATACACCCATGAATGGACTTGTACTGAGTGCCTACTATGTGTCTGGCACTGAGCTGGACACTAAGGCCCTGCCCTCAGAGAGCTTCCATTCTACTGGTGGGAGGTGGGAGGGCAGGAAAACAGCAAGGACAGGGATGCATCAATAAAAAATACATACAAAGTCATTTCCAAAATGGGGGAAGGGCAGGAAACATCTTGTGTCGGAGGTGAAGGGAAGGTAGCTGGGGATTCAGGAGACAGAGGGGTGGAGGGAGAGCAGTCCTGCCACCACTCCTGGGGTCCCTTAACATTGCCCCCCCCGCCCCACCCACCACACCTAGGATCCCTTAACACCCCCCTCCCTGTCCCACCC